GACACTCTTGTAGGACACTCTTGTGGGACACTCTTGTGGGACACTCTAAAAGGACACTCTTGTGGGACACTCTTGTGGGACACTCTTGTTGGACACTCTTGTGAGACACTCTTGTGGGACACTGTTGCGGGACACTCTTGCGGGACACTCTTGTGGGACGCTCTTACGGGACACTCTTGTAGGACGCTCTTGTGGGACACTCTTGTAGGACACTCTTGTGGGACACTCTTACGGGACACTCTTGTAGAACGCTCTTGTAGGACACTCTTGTGGGACACACTTGTGAGACACTCTTGTGGGACACTCTTGTGGGACACTCATGTGGGACACTCTTGTGGGACACTCTTGTACGACACTCTTGTGGGACACTCTTGTGGGACACTCTTGCGGGACACTCTTGTAGGAAACTCTTGTCGGAGATTCTTGTAGGACACTCTTGTGGGTCACTCTTGTAGGACACTCTTGTGGGACACTCCTGTAGGAGTCTCTTGTGGGACACTCTTGTAGGACACTCTTGTGGGACACTGTTGTGGGACACTCTTGTGGGACACTCTTAAGGGACACTCTTGTGAGACACTCTTGTGGGACACTGTTGCGGGACACTCTTGTGGGACACTCTCGTGGGACACTCATACGGGACACTCTTGTGGGACATTCTTGTGGGACACTCTTGTAGCAAACTCTTGTGGGACACTCTTGTGGGACACTCTTGTAGGACACTGTTGTGGGACACTCTTGTAGGGCACTCTTGTGGGACACTCTTGTGACAGACTCTTGTAGGAAACTCTTGTGGGACACTCTTGTAGGACACTCTCGTGGGACACTCTGGTGGGACACTCTTGTAGGACACTCTTGTGGGACACTCTTGTAGGGCACTCTTCGTACGAGACTTCCTCCAAAAAGTCACACGTCAAGTCTCCAAAACAAGCGTTTCGTACGAGACTTCCTCCAAAAGTCACATGTCAAGTCTCCAAAACGAGCGTTTCGTACGAGACTTCCTCCAAAAGTCACGTGCCAAGTCTCCAAAACGAGCGTTTCGTACGAGACTTCCTCCAAAACTCACATGTCAAAGTCTGCAAAACGAGCATTTCGTACGAGACTTCCTCCAAAAGTCAAGTGGAAACACCCATCGGAGCACACACATCACGCAGCCCTGCCAAGCAGTTTCGCGAGTCCAGCCCCTCCAAACAATACACGCTCACACGCCAATCCCACTGTGACAGCGACATTCACCTCTACCACAACTCACACCCTCACAATCCCTGCGCCAGCCACGAATCTTTTCGCATCCACACGTCTAACGCGCACAAAGTATTGCGCCTGCCACGAAATGTCACCTCCGTCACACCTCGCAACCTCACGATTCCCTGCACCTGCCACGAAAATCGCACTTCCACACTTCAAAATCCGCACAAAGTACTGCGCCTGCCACGAAAAGTGACAATATCATCTCATGTGAGCTTCAACAAAATTTGCACCACACCACACGTTTGGAATGATTTCGACCCGTTCTGAACACACTCCCATCCACCAAAATCGCCATTTCAGCTGAGACTGGTCACGAAAACAGAGCTTCGATGCCACACCCTGAAACGCAAATCCCAATGGCACGGCCACATCCAACACCCCAAAAACACGACTCTCCAAACGCTAATCCCAATGGAACTGCGTAGCAAACTGAGGATCTCACAAAACGCTGCGCCTGTGCAGCGAAACGCATCACGTTTCTTGCACGGCATCTCATTTTCATGCAAATCGCAATGGAATAGCGGCGCAAACTGACACGTGACACATCCATGAAAAGTCACTTGCAAAAGCTTCCCCCAATGGCAGCGCCTTAGCGCTCTACTGCGAACGGTTGCGAACGGTTGCGGACGGTTGCGACCGGTTGCGGACGGTTGCGGACGGTTGCGAACATAGAAGCAACGGGTCGCGAACAAGGCTCTACCCCCAGACCCCCAAGAGTTAAACGAGAACCCTTCGCTACGCATTCGGGAAAAATGAACAACACCGTCCACATAAACAAAAAAGCCCAAAAAACAGCCCGCGCAAGAAGAGGAATGGGAAAAGGACAAGAGGCAGACGAAGAGGAAGAAGAAGAGGAAGAAACAGGAAGCTGAGGAAGGAAAAGAAGGGTGTGGATTTCCCCCGCCGCCATCACTTGGGGGAAGGGGGAAATCCACCAGCATAAAAGAACCGTCTGCAAAAAGAAGCGCCCTCCGCATAAAAGAAAACCTGCATAGGAAAGGGAACTGTGAGCCTAGAAAAAAAGAGCATAAGCGAGACACCCGCTGCATAAAAACATACAACAATTATGGGACTGGATCACCCCACTGGTGACGATTGGTTGGTGGCAATTGGTTGGTGGCAGTTTGTTGGTGGCAATTGGTTGGTGACAATCGGTTGGTGGCAACTGGTTGGTGGCAGTTGGTTGGTGGCAAGTGGTTGGCGACAATTGGTTGGTGGCAATTTGGTTGGCGACAATTGGTTGGTGACAGATGGTTGGAGAGCATGAAGTGCTGCGCTTGCTACGCAAAGCGGCGGCGACCCACGGACGCCAGGGTGTACGTCCGACCCCTTGGAGAGCACGACTGCCAAGCAAATCACAGCGCCGGCCATGAAATCACAGCGGCACAGCGGCGGAGCCCCACCCGCGCCAGTGGTTGGTGACAATCAGTTGGTGGCAATTGGTTGGCAGCAATTGGTGGGTGGCAATTGGTTGGAGACAATTGGTGGGTGGCAATTGGTTGATGACAATTGGTTGACGACAATATTGGTTGGTGGCAATTGGTTGGTGACAATTGGTGGGTGGCAATTAGTTGGCGGCAGTTGGTTGGTGACAATTGGTTGGTGACCATTGGTTGGTGACAATCAGTTGGTGGCAACTGGTTGGTAGCAATTGGTGAGTGGCAATTGGATGGTGACAATTTGTGGGTGGCAATGGGTTGATGACAATTGGTTTGGTTGACGACAATTGGTTGGTGACATTTAGTTGGTAGCAATTGGTTGGTGACAATTGGTGGGTAGGAATTGGTGGGTGGCAATTGGTTGGTGACAAATGGTTGGCGACAATTGGTTGGTGACAATTGGTTGGTGGCAGGTGGTTGGTGACAATTGGTTGGTGGCAAGCGGGAGGCGGGAGGAGGAGGGCGGAGCGGATACAACACTAAAAACAAAAACCCCACACGTCAATGTCAATGTGGGGAACAACATCCCTTACCGCAAAACCATACCTGCCCGTCTATCTGCATAAACAAAGAAGCATCCGCATACAAAAACACCCGGAGAAGAAAAGGGAAAGAGGAAGCTGAGAAAGAGGTTTCCTTTGATTTGGGGGTTCTCCAGCAATTGGGGTTTCCATGTCTTGCTGAGACAGCTCAAAAAGTTATCTATTATTGCACGCCCTTTAGGGGTCACAGTCTGGCTGTGACAGCTAAGATTATTCCATGCGCTGCGCACCGGGTCTCGCAAGTCTTGCTGTGACAGCTGAGATTATTCTCTATTTTGTGGCATGCCCTTGGGCAGGGCACTCACAAGCCTTGCAGTTTACTGTTTTCTCTGTTATTCTTGCATGCCTTTTGAGAGCGCGAATGCCACCGTGGGCACTTTGGACACATGCTTGTGTGACACGCCCAGCGTTGTGACGCTTATTGTCTCCATCGTTCTGGCGGTTTGTTGGCACCGTGGCCATGAAGCTGGCGCTGGCCTCCGCTACCAGCCTCATGGCCTTGAGTTCCGTTTTGTTCACTGTGCGAGCAAAGTTGGCCAGAAGAATACCAGCCTCAACCATTTCCAACAAGGGTGGCAGGATGAGGTGTCCCAAGGCTTGAGCCATACGTTTCACCATTAATGCAAAGACTATCCAAAATTGATGGTGGGCCAACATTTTCAGAAGTTCACTGCAGTCTACACAGAGCAGGGCCAATGAATTTTGATTTTGTTTTGGGAGGTAACCCCTTCACCCCCTTCAGCCCAAAACTCACAAGCTCCCAAGT